TGGCTCCACTGGATCGACCCGCTCGCTTGGTCTCTCCGGGCGCTCACCATCAACCAGTACACGGCCTCCGATTTCAAGGGGTGCACGCTTGGTGGCATCGACTACTGCGCACTGACTGGCAGCACCTCGGTGGGCACGGCGCTCCTCGAGCAGTTTGGCCTTCGCACCAGCCGGGCGTGGATCTGGTATGGCGTCTTGTATCTCGTCGGCTGCTACTTTGCGTTCCTCTTTTTCGCGTATCTCATCCTCGAGTACATTCGCTTTGACGACACGGATCACAGCCACGTGGTCGGAACCCAGTCTAATGACGGACGCTCTTCCACGGACGACGACGATGAAATGCCGTATCTCGAGGCACCCAAGACACCGACGGTCGCCATCGCCGTGGCCCCCCGTGAGGTCGTACCCGTGACATTGACGTTTGAAAACTTGAGCTACACGGTCCCCAACCCGACAAAGGGCGAGCCCGACTTGCGGCTGCTCAAGTCTATCAGTGGCTATGCGCTGCCGGGCACGGTCACCGCGCTCATGGGGGCGTCCGGTGCCGGCAAGACCACCTTGATGGACGTCATCGCCGGGCGCAAGTCGAGCGGCAAGATCGACGGCGAGATCAAGCTCAACGGCCACATCGCAACCGACCTAGCGATTCGTCGGTCGACGGGCTACTGCGAGCAGATGGACGTGCACTCCGAGTCGGCCACCTTCCGCGAGGCGCTTCAGTTTAGCTCGATGCTGCGGCAGTCGGACGACATTCCCGCGGCCGACAAGCTCGCGTTCGCAGAAGAGTGCTTGTCGCTCCTTGGGCTCGATACGATCGGCGATAAGATCATCCGCGGGTCGTCTGTCGAGCAGATGAAGCGCCTCACGATCGGTGTCGAGCTCGCGGCGTCGCCGTCTGTGCTGTTTCTTGATGAGCCGACGTCAGGTCTGGATGCGCGCTCGGCCAAGATCGTCATGGCCGGCATCCGCAAGATCGCGTCAACAGGTCGCACGGTCGTCTGCACGATCCACCAGCCGTCGGCCGAGGTCTTTGAGATGTTTGACAACCTCCTCCTCCTCAAGCGCGGTGGCGAGACCGTCTTCTTTGGCGACCTCGGCACCAAGGCGGCGCATTTGATCCGCTATTTCTCTTCGCTGCCGGGCACGCCGCCGATCGAGGCCGGTATGAACCCCGCGGCATGGATGCTCGATGTCATTGGCGCCGGCGTCGAAGTGCGCGCTCAAGCTGTCGACTTTGTGCAGGCGTTTGCGTTGTCGGCTGAGCGTCAAGCGCTCACGGACGGTCTTGCAGTACACGCTGCACCGCACCCGGAGCTCGAGGCGCTCACGTTTGGCTCCAAGCGCGCGGCTGCGTTGAGTACGCAGTTGGGTCAGCTACTGCGCCGCTTTGTCCGTCTGCACTGGCGCACGCCGTCGTACAACAACACGCGCGGCGTCATCTCGATCGCCCTCGCCATCTTCTTTGGTCTCTTGTACAACAAAGTGGACTATACGACCTTCTCGGGGGCGACCGGCGGCATCGGGATGATCTACCTCTCGTCCGTCTTCATCAGCATGGTCTCGTTCTTCTCCGTGATGGTGCTCGTCGTCGACGACCGCAGCGCGTTTTACCGCGAGCGCGCGTCGCAGACGTACTCGGCGCTCGCTTACTTTGTCGCGTCGACGCTGACCGAGATTCCGCACGTCGTTGGCTCGACCTTTGCGTTCGCCATCATCTTTTACCCGTTTGTGGGTCTCAACGTGTCGGTGGGCGCGTGCTTGTACTACGGACTCAACCTCTCGCTCATGGTGCTCTTCCACGTCTACTTTGGCCAGCTCATGGCCATTCTGCTACCCAACGTCGACGTGGCGGGCACCGTCGGCTTTCTCTTCAGCTCCATTTTCATGCTCTTCATGGGCTTTGCGCCGCCGGCGTCGCAGATTCCGAGTGGCTTCCGGTGGCTCTACAGCGTTGTGCCACCCAAGTTTAGCATGGCCATTCTGGCTGCCGAGACGTTTGCCAAGTGCACGGATGGCCACGAACTCGGCTGCAAGACGCTCGCGCACGTTCCGCCCAGTGTCCTCAAAGCGATGGGCAATGCCTCCAGCATCACGCTCAAGGAGTACGTCGAGGGCGTGTACGAGATGAAGTACGACGACGCCAGCACCAACACGCTCGCCACGCTCGGCTGGATCGCCATCATCTTGGCTCTCAACGCGATCGCGCTTCGCTTCATCAACCACCAAAAGAGATAGAAGTAGCTAGAACTACATATCCATATATACTGCATGAATACACGGTTTGCTTAATCCATACTCGACCGAAAGAACGCTTGCGCAACTTCAAACTATCTTTTGATCAGCTGACAGATAAACCCAATCCATGGTTTTCCCAATGGTTTGTCCCAATGGATCAGGGACAAACCCAACAGAAACCCTTGTCGTTTCCACTGTTGCATCGCTAGAGAATCCAGTACTGCCATGTGCCTCCTTGCTACTATACAAAAGATACTTTAGCGGCTTCTGATCTCGAGGGGCGTGTCCGTCGACACGACATCAAGCCATGAACGACCGCCAGAAGCACACTTCGTAGTCACTGCCAAGTCAAGCTGCCGCAGTTGACGCCACGCGCATCCGCTCAACCAATCACTAGAGTGCATGTATCCAACGCAATGGACTGTGACGACTAGAATGCCATCACCAACACAATCGGCTGAGTCGCTGCACTGTTCGTCCACGATCACAGCAGTCGCATCGCAGCAGCCATCAACATATTCGACCATGTGCTTGAAGCTCCAGAACACAGACAGTACCCTGCAAGCATTGGGTGCAAAGCTACCACGGCGCCCGTACTGCAAACCGAGAAACCACCCATCGCCGCGCAAGTACATGTGCACACGCAAAGACAAGTGTGCTTCGACGCCGCCGACATGCTACGCCCGGTGCTCTATCTACCGTATCCACACCCTTTGGTCAAAGAGCGCGCTTCTACGCGTCCTCGTCAGCACAATGTATCTCGACCACAGGTTTCCATAAATCCTGTACTGGATTCTGCATCTGATCCGCCGTTACGGATCGTCTCACATGGTGGGTGCGGCCACAGCAGCTGGTTCCGCAGTCGCCGCTGCGAAGTGCTATGGTTCGTTACGAAGCAAGCGGGTGGCGCTAAACTTCTCACCCGGCGCACACTTGTCGATAGCTGCGTCGTCGGCGTCGGACGTAGGCTTCTATTTGTTGTCCTTCGCATCGAGTTTCGTCGACGGCCTGTCCTGGTTGGTTGGATCAGGCACATTGCAGTTGGACCAACTTCAAGTAAAAAATCCACGTGTCACTTGCACCCGTATGCTCTGGATTTCAGAGTTTGTGGCTCGCATTCGTTCCTCACTTTTCAATTTGCGATGCGCAGTGCAAGCGTCGTCCTCGCCGCGGCTATCGCGTCGGCGCTTGGCGCCAACCCGGTCATCTACGAGATCTCGACGCGCCCATGGCTCTACGAGCTCTCGCTCAAGTACAACCGCCCCATGTCGCTCCATGATCCGTCTGCGCTCGCGCTCATCCAGAAGGAGCTGTTGGCGCTCAAGGCCACGTACAACCCCGACTACATCTGGATGATGGGGGTGTGGCAGCTCGGTGCGTACGGTCTGAACCTCGACCAGACCACAAAGAACGACGAGTTCAATTCGATTCTGCCGGGTTGGACCAAGGATGACGTGATCGGGTCGCCGTACGCGGTCGCCAACTACACGTGCAACCCGTCGATTGGCTCGGACGACGACCTCCGCGCGCTCAAGTCATTTTTGAATGCCAACAAGATGAAGCTCATGCTCGACTTTGTACCCAACCACGTCGCGGTGGACCACCCGTGGGCGTGCTCGCAGCCCGAGTTCCTCCTCCCGCTCGACCAGGCCGACCTCGGGTCGCGCTCGTGCGCCAAGGGCCCGACTGTCCGTCCGCCGTGCAGCAGCCGGTCGTTCTACACGGGCGGCGACTACTGGAACTCGGGGTGGGTCGACACCGTCCAGCTCAACTACTGGAGCCCGGCGCTCCGGTCGGCGCAGATCGAGACGCTGTCGCACATTGCGAGTTTGGCCGACGGCATTCGCTGCGACATGGCCATGTCGGTCCTTAACCGCGAGATCGAACTCGCTTGGGTCAACGACAACCGCAACGGCAACAGCTGCTCGACGGGGTCGCAAGGGCGCATGCCGACGAAATTTGCGGCATCGCCGCCAAAGACCGAATTTTGGGCCGACGCGATCCCGGTGCTCAAAGCCAAGTACCCGAGTCTCTTTTTGATGGCTGAGAACTACAACTATGGCTTTACGCCGACGCCGGAAGACCTGTACCTCCAATCACTCGGCTTTGACGTGACGTACGACATGGACGCGCTCAAGACAATCGATGCGATGCCGATCGGGTCGGGCAAGGCCAGCTTTGTCGACCTCGTGCGCGCCAGCAGCGCCAAGTACGCCAAGTCCGTCCACTTTGTCGAAAACCACGACGACAACCGCGCGGCCGGCACGCTCTTCAACTACAAGGCGTCGGCGGCGCGGGCGGCGGCGCTCGCCGTCACGTCGCTCCCCGGCACCAAACTCTTTTTCCACGGGCAGTTTGACTGCAACCCGAACCGCCTATCGGTGCAGCTTCGGCGCGGCGTCTCGTTCAAGCCCGACGCGTACTGCCAAACGTGGTATGCTGATCTGCTGCAGACGCTCACGGACGACGTGCACACGCGCGGGAATTGGCTCGGCATCGACTCGGCGCCGTTCTCGACTTCCGACGGCAGCGATGTCATCTCGTACAAGTGGCAGTACAACTGCACCGAGCGCCTCGTGGTCGCCAACTACCGCGACGCGTGGAGCAACGTGCGCATTCCACTCTCGTTCCCCAAGATTACCAACAAGAACACGCTTGTGACCATCTCTGAGCGCCTCCTTGGTGCGGGCCTGACGTCCAAGCGCTCGTGGACGCTGCCAGTCAAGGACCTCGAGACCAGCGGTCTCTCGGTGATCCTGAGCAACTTTGACAGCCAAGTTTTCGACTACTCGATCTGCCCACCGTCGGCGCCGACGGCTGCTCCCGTGACGACGACGGCTCCTGCGACGACGACGGCCCCTGTCTCGACACCCGCAGCGTGCACGAGCCCTGTGACTGAGATCCGCAACCGCACTGCGGCGGCGTGGAAGGAGCGCTCGGTCTATCAGATTTTGACCGATCGCTTCGCGGGTCCGTCGTCGGGTGCGTGCAAGGACCTCTCGACGTACTGCGGCGGCACCTTCAACGGCATCAAGAGCAACCTCCAGTACATCCGCGGCATGGGCTTTGACGCGATCTGGATCAGCCCCGTCGTCGACAACAGCCCTGGCGGCTACCACGGCTACTGGGCGCGCAACTGGGACAAGATCAACGCTAACTTCGGCACGCCAGAGGAGCTCAAGGCACTTGTGGACGCGGCCCACGCGCTCGACATGTGGATCATGGTCGACGTCGTCGCCAACCACGTGGCACCAGTCGGCAACGACTTTAGCTCGATCGTGCCGTTCAACAACCCGTCGCACTACCACCCGTCGTGCGAGATCACAGACTGGAGCAACCAAAAGATGGTCGAGACTTGCCGTCTCTCGGGCCTCCCGGACCTCGACCAGTCCAACGCTTTCGTGCGCTCGTACCTCCTCAAGTGGATCACCAAGCTCGTGACCGACTATGGCTTTGACGGCGTTCGCGTCGACACCGTGCCTGAAGTCGCCAAGGACTTTTGGGCCGAGTTCAACAAGGCGGCCGGTGTCTTCCAGGTCGGCGAAGTCTTCAACGGCGACCCCAAGTACGTTGGTGGCTACCAGCCGTCGGTCAGCAGCGTCTTCAACTACCCAATGTCCTTTACGATCGGCGACGTCTTTGGCGCTGGCCAGAGCATGAAGGCGATCAAGAGCCGCGTGGACGCCAACAGCAACTACGCTGACCCGACCATTCTCGGGTCGTTTGTCGACAACCACGACAACCCGCGTTTCATGAACAAGTACCCGAACAAGCAGGCGCAGCTCCGGGCCGCGACCGTCTTTTCGCTCACGACCGAAGGCATTCCGTTCGTGTACTATGGCACCGAACAGTACTACGGCGGCGGCGTCGACCCGGCCAACCGCGAGTCGCTCTGGACCAACCTCGACACGACGTCCGACTTGTACAAAATTCTCTCGGTTGTCCACCGCCAGCGCAAAAAGTCGCAGATCTGGCTCTCGCCGTGGGTCGAGCGGTACGCAGCCGACAACTTTTACAGCTTTAGCCGCGGCGCCTTCCTCGTCGCGCTCACCAACTCGAACGCGCAGCAGCACGTCAAGGTGAGCTACCATCCGTTCAAGGACGGCGACGTCGTCTGCAACATCTTTTGGCCCAAGGACGACTGCCAAACGGTCGCGGGGGGCGTCGACGTGTACCTCAACAATGGCGAGAGCAAGATCTATGTTCTCAAGTCCATGCTCGCCTAAGTCTACGTTGTATAAGCTTTTCATACTGTCTTTTATTTTGTTTGTACAAAAAGTAGAATGGCTAATCCTATGATTGGTGGCTACTGTCGGACCGTCAAGTGTGGTCATCGCCAGCGCAAGTGCATTATCTCGTAGAGAGCGCTTTCTAATTGTGCGCTTCGTTGCCAGGCAGCTGGTCGACATGAGAGTAGCCGTGTCGATAGCTTGCTCTCGGGCTCGGCACATCGGGGTCTTGCGGGCCCTCTGCCAATACCCACTTGTCGGCCACGTCGAAGCAGCCACTCAGATCTGGTTCAATGCACGCAGCGGTATCTGTCCTTGAGACTGCCATCTTCGTCTTGGCCGGTATTTGCCGCAGTCACGTGGGACTCGTTGGTGGACTCGAAATAAGGTCTTTGCGTATCTTTCAGGATAAATCCTAAAGCTGAAGATCCTAAACGAAATACAAGTCATCGCAAGCAGCGGATGTAGTTCTATGAACCACAAGGCGCATGCGGACTGCAATGGTGCTGTCGCACACTACTAGACGCGCCGTGTAGCAGCTCTATTAGCTAGCTGGTACTGATCGATGTTGCAAGGTACTGTAATCTAGATCGACGAGCTCGTTACGGGCAGTAGGCGGTCGGACGAGGAAATCTTCTAGTCCATGGAGAAGTACACGCAGCACGTTAGCGTCGAGGGATGGCCATGGGCAACGTACAGAGTAGCGAATTCTTGGGGTATACCTCATTGAGGTCCGTGGAAGCATGCATGAGGCTGCTAAGGTCGATGATTGCGCAGCGCTTATGGGCTGATCACCCTGCCGCTTGTCGTAGACGAATCACGCGCAAGGTGGTTTTGCCCTCATTACACGCGTTTGTCCGCTTTTAACCGGATGGAAGGCTCCGTTTTGCTATATTAAATTGTGCCAGCGGCGTTTAACCCAAGTGGGTACAACTTGGGACAATTATCATTCCTGTGGTTCAGTTGGGACAAACGTTTTTCGCTCGCGGGATATTGCCCATCGTTGTCGAACGATGAATCGTGCAAAGAGGGAGTTTCTACGATGCAAACCAAGAAGTCCCCGATCCGGAAGATCGCCCCGAATTCGACGGGGTGAGCTGGCGGGGTGGTCAGCGACGAAGCGGTACGGAGCTCACTTTTCAATTTACCGCACAGCCACCAAGTAGCCTACCATGGAACACATTGTTCTTTTCCAGTTCAATCCCGAAGTGACGCCGGAGGCCATCACTGCCTTTGGCAACTCCATCTTGGCGCTCAAGGAAGTCGTCCCCGGGATCATCGACATGGCCTTTGGCGAAGACCTCAAGGTCGGCCACGCCCAGAACTTCACGCACGGCCTCGTCGCGCGCATGGAAAGCCCCGAGGTGCTCGAGGCCTACCTCATCCACCCGGACCACGTCGCTGTCGTCAAGGTCCTCCACGAAATCGTGGCCAACTTTTTGGCGTTCGACTTTCTGAGCTCGCGCGATGCCCCGACCCGTGCCTAAGCACACAGTGCTCTCTATGAAGACGTCGAATACACCCTTGTACGTGATACCAATCGGTTTTGTTTGGCGACCGTGCTCACCTTCGGTTCAGTCGGAAGAGGATCGGTGAGGCATGCTGGATCACTACAGTATTAACTTCTCAAGCATGGTCGGCCAGCGTAGGTATGTCTTCTTCGCAACATGGCCACAAGTTCTTTCTTTCGGTCCTGCGAACATATCATTATTGCCATGCCCAACAGTGCAGATCTCATTCAGATGACGCAGCGGCTCGAATGACGCCAGGATCACGGGGTGGAGCCGACTCTTGCGCCACAGTACAGCACATTTATGGTAGCAGTGAGCGCCAACAGATTCGTGTCGGGTGTGGTGATTGTCTGTGGTGCACCACGAACGCCTTGGAGCACGACAGAACTCGTCGAGTTGCCTCGGGTGCCACAGAATGACCATCGACACGCCTTTGGCTGCCTTCGACATACACAGCTGGATCGACTTGTCTCAGTCCAGTTAGCAGTCGCCGCGCACGGTATGGTCAATCTTTATCCTGGCAGGAACGTTAACGTGGTGTACCAGCATCCCAGGGGATTAATTCGTATTTTCTGGCCAACCCATTGGCTATAATTTACACCATTTTGACCAATCGCATCACGCGGATAATGTCCCGTGAAGTGCGATTTTGACGTCCCTGTTAAGTGCTGTCCATGTTGGGACATTATACTTGTTTTTGTATTCATTAAGTACGACGCACTTCTAAGAGCACATGTCGAACATAAGGTATTTCCGCACCTAATCGCAATGCAGCTGCATTTGGATTGCAGAAGCGGGCCGCGCGAAGACCGCAGCAAGCGCCGTCGTCGCAATACCGTTAATCAACGCTTCGCATTCAATACAAAAGTTCCTACCAGTTCACCCCGCAAGGGACCTGTTTGCATGCATGTCGCCGGCGATAGCCCAGACAATCTTGCGGTGCAAGGCCGAGCAGTCGTGGGACCTTCAATTTGAGGATTTCCTAAAAGTAGGTCCAAAGACCCTATTTATAGGGCATTTGGACCTAGCACAAGGCGCATTGATTCTCATTGGCAAGACGCAAGATATGTGACGAGCCGCTGGCACCAATACAAGACGGCCACCGACGCCGTCCACGCAGCCTTCTTCGCCTTCATCTTCGCCTTCGTGAACGGCAAAGCAAATTTGGGCGGCCGCGGTCGATGTGTCTGGTCGGCGCTCTCGACGAGCATCTACTTGCGTTGGCAGGCAACAAAGTCGCTGCCGCCTGACCACGGTCACATGTACTTTCTCGAGCTCCTGCGTGTGATCCTGCCAAGCTAGCGCCGCTTCGCTCACCGGCTGAAACATCGACGACGCCGACTGCAACGCGGCGCAAGGCGACGACAAGCAGCAGCCCCTCGAACGTCTTTGAGGCCTTCCTTGTCGAGGACGAGG